AATGATCCTATGATTCTATCCTGTGGTTCTAAGAAGAAAGGTATGACTGAAGGACCAGGAAGCCTGTGACTTCAGGTAACAGGAATACAGCTCTGTTTCCTCCTCCAGCTGTGCCTAGCTAACAGTTTCATCAACAGTAGGGAGTGTTTGGGGATAAGATTCTGAGTGAGTATCTCAAGTCTTTGGATTAGCACCAGTACTAAAGGAAGCATTGGTGTTAGTGGCTGATGACGCTCCCCATGTGAAACAAGAATCCATCCCAATTATCCATGTGAGCCTCTTGCTTGTCCAGAACCCAGGTCATTGATGTTGCAGACAAATTACCAACACCCACACAGCCTTCTGAATTCTACCTCTTGCTGCTATCCCTTGTGGGACAGAAGTAACACAGCCAAGGGAAACCTTGAGCAGATCAAATGGAACAGAATGCTCAGAGCAAACATGAGAAGCAGAAATCCCAGTGGTACTCTCTTGAACCCTTGTTTAAGGCTGGAGAGGCCTGGCTGGCAGATGTAACCAGCAGACTGATGCCTGTCTGTGCAGCTGCTGTCAAGAGCAAGACTTCGGTTTCTTTGATTACAATGCCTCATTCAACGAAGATGGACTGCTATGAACACATGGAAGTCAAAAAAACAGCTCTGCACAGAGACTTGCTATTATAGTGAGGATGGATTTAAACTAAATTCAATGAGGAACAGGGCCTTGGCCCAGAGGTAAAGAAAGACAGGAGAAAGTTTGTGTAAGGAAAGGCCACAAGGGAAAGTTACACATTTCCACTTGGAGGGAGGGCACACACAGGCTAACTTGGGTGTCTGGGTACTAACACACAGAGTTTGGCCAGAAAACAAGAACTGGAAGTCTACACACAGTCATAGTGTTCTGATGCCATCAGGATCACAAAGATTAAATGGGATAGCATCCATGACTGGAACAGTGTCATGAAGGATGTTCAAGAAGAACAAGCAGTGGAGAAGAATGGCAGCTGCATTTTCATATAAAGCATCTCCTTGCCTATGCAGAGGTCCAGTATGAAACCAGAGATGTGTCTGACAGGAGACTTCTGGTCAAAAGCAAAAGCAAAAGCAACATGGGCCATGCAGCAGTGTGGGCCTGTTACACACCACCTGCTCAAGGGGACAAAGTGGATAGTGCTGTACACAAACAACTACCAAAAACAACCCGATCACCAGACTTGGTCCTCACTAGGGCACCATGGCATTGTGAAAGCAACCCAAGATATTTCCAGACTGCATTGATAATAACTTTTAAATGCTAGAGAGACCAAACAAAGGAAATACTCTATGTGACCTCTGTACACAAACATGGAAGAACGAGCGGCAAATGTGGTCACAGATAGTAGGTTGGGAGAAGTGACCACAAGCAGATTGTATTCACAATCCAGAAGGAGACTGGGAAGCTAAGCACAAGAAATAGGACTAAGGATTTTATGTAAGTGGACTTGGGGTTATACAGGAGATAGCTCAGCAGAATCTTCTGGGACGATGAAGCAAAAGGTGTCAGTCTAGCTAGTAAATTTTTGTGGGAAACTTATTGACAGCTCAGGAACTAATAATAATCCTATTGTACAAGAAGACTGGCATTTCAGTAGAAGACTCACTGACTAAACAAGGAGGTTCTTAATGAACTGTAATACAAAAAGACAGCATATAGAAAACAAAAAAAAGGAGTACAAAAGCACTACTTTGGCACTTAGGAACAACACTGGGAAAACCAAAGTGCATTTAGAATTAAAAGAAGTGGGGATATAAGTAGCAGCAAGACAAAATTGTTCAGAGGAAATTTGGGGATGTTACTGAATGGGGAAGACAACCTAGTGGTTGCGCAGATGGAAAAGTCTGAAGTATTTTTGCCTCAATCTTCACAGGCAAAGATTACTCCTAGATTTCCATGTGTACCAGTATGGTTTGAGAAGGAACAGGTTAACGACAACAAATTAAGAATGAGTCAGAGCAGCTGATGTATTCAAATCTACGAGGACAGAGAAGATTAATCTGAAAGCGCTGAAAGAGTTGGCTTATGTGACCCCAATAGATCTGTCTGCCATCTCAAAAAAAACCCACACATGACCATTGAGGCAGACACCTGAAAACTGGAAAAAGGCTAGCACTGTGTCTGCCTTTAGAAAAGACATGAGAAAGGTGACTACAGGCTGCTTAGCCTCACCCCAACCCCTGTAAGGATTTCATACCACATCTGTGTAGAATCCACCTCCAAACATGCAGAGAACAAAAAGGTAATCAGCCACAATCAGCATGGACTCACAAAGGGTAGTTAATGCTTGATCAAACTGATTGTCTTACGGGATAAAATGACCTGAAATGCAGATGTGGGGAGAGTGGTGGATGTAATCAAATGGTCTGGTGGGTAGACTGAAAATTACCAGTACAGCCAGACTCAGAGGGTAACATTCACAGTAAACACCAGATTGCTCTCTAGTTGGCAGCCAGTACCAAGCAGAGTATTGTAGTAGACTCAGTAGAGCTGAGTATGCTCAATATCCTCACCAAAGACCTGGATGATGAAACCTAATGCACTCTCAGCAATATTCTAGACATAACTAACCCAGTGGCATTTGACACATTAAGCAGTAGAGCTTTAATCAAGAAGGACCTTGAGGAAGTTCAGAACTGGAAATGTCAAGTTCAAGAACAAGAATTCTACAGCTTTTCTAGGGGCAGGATAACCGTGTGCATCAGTGCATGCTAGGAACTGATTGTAGTAGTTCCTTGTAGCAGGCCTGCTGAAAAGGACAGAGAGGTTTTGGTAGATGCCAAGCGAAATTTCAGGCAATGTTTTCACTGCTAAAGAGCAAATTGGATAGTGGCTACACTAGGAGCAGCATGGCCAGCAGGACAGTGAAGTTACTCTTCCCCTATATGAAGCATTGATTAGGCAATAGCTGAAATACCGCATCCCATACTGAACTCTCAGTTCAAGAGGCACCTGGAGAAACCAGAACCTGGAGAGGGGCCATGAGCTCATGACTGACAGAAGTTGAACCAGCGGGGTTTTTTTAGATGCATAAACAGGAGGCTAAGAGAGGCAAAAACTACTTGGAAGAAGAGTTACTAAAATGCTGTAGCCAAGCTTTCCTCAACTAATGAAAGCACATGTAAAATCATGACTTTTTACCTGGCAGTGCTGTCAACTCTTTTCTTAAAAATAAGACATGCTTTGTTGCCTCTTATCCAGTATCTCCTGTAATACCAGCTCAACAACTTAGTTGACCATATATATATTCCCACTGGACCACACTGTTAATGGGGATGTAAAAGGCATTTTTTGCGTTCACCACTTCAGGAATCTCAAAGACTGACCTTAAAACTTTCAGATTCTGATCTATTAAAATAAGTAAAAACCCTACATTGTACGGTACCTAACTATCCAGGGAAACATTTCATCCCATTTGGTGTGCTTGAGATCAGAGCAGGTACTTAAGCTGAAATTTCATCAAATTTTTAAGAAGGGGACCCAGCAGGTATTCACCCAGAGGTGTAATTCACCTCCTCCCATCAATATTACAAGCAAGATTTGTTATTTAGAACTAGTTATTAAGTTTTTCTTGGGCATTAAGGGAGAAAACTGGGTGCAAGACAAGGATCTAGCTGAAGATTCCTCCCTTCTTTGGTCCAAGTGGGTGTAGCTCTACTAACTTCAAACTGGATTTTATCTGCTAGTACCTAATTATTAAATGGTCTATGTGGTTTTATATTATATGGATTTGAAGTGAGCTTTCAGATTAAGAATTTTTCAATTATGTAACAATGCCCAGAGCAGGAGCTGTTATTTATTTTTTAAATCATCAAATATATGAGTAAGAACACAGAGATAAATTATTAGATACCCTGAAGACTTTCCAAGTATTAAAATTATGGAGGCGAAAGGTAGTCTTAGATAGAACAATGTTCCAAAATAGGTTTGAAACAGAATATAAATGTGATTTATCTAAAGTTACATAGCCAGTCAATATAAATTTCAGGATGCAGTCACACTTGTGAACTCTGTATTTTCTATGCAGTTTGTTTTATGCTGCATAAAGATATGGTACATTAGACCAAAGACCTATCCAGTGTATTCTCCTCTCTTTAATAGTGGCAGAAGCAAAAAGCTGGAGTAGAAGAGCACCAAACAGAAAGGCCTTTTGCTGTTTCCCACCCTATATTTTGTTAACAACTAGCAACTTGCAGTTTAGGGATTTACCAAGACAGTGATTGTATTTAAATCTTTGCATCTAACAGCCGTCAAGGATTTTTTTTTCCATTAATTTGTCTAGTAGCTGTTTGAACCAATTAATGCTTCTGGAGTCCATAACATCCTGTGGCACATAATTCCACAATGGAACTATTCACTGTGTAAAAAGTTACTTCCTTTCGTTGCTTTAAAACCTGCTGCTGCACAATTTCATTAAATGGCTCTTTATGTGACACACTGTGAACAAACACTTCTGTTCCATCCATGTCTACACACTGCTGTAATAGTCACCCCTTATCTGAATCAACTGACAGTTTCTCCTTGAGCAAAAGTAAAGCCACACCTGTGGTCCTCTGTAGGTGCTTTTTGCTTTAGGTGGATTTTCTCCTTACCATAAAACACTCTCTTTTTATTAAAAATTTAACAGGCAAATAAGTGCTAAAAAGAACCAGTTTAAGGAGTGAATAATATAAGGAGTTTTGTGGGGTTTGGAAATGGCCAAGCGTAAACCCACATTGAGCTGTAATAACCATTACAACTACAGTGAGCTGTGCTGGGTGTATAAACCTGATTGATGGGATTTGTCTGACATTTGTTTTTAAGCCCAACTGATGAAGGTGGCCAGGCATCTCCAAACCTAACTGGTAGATTAAGGAGGATGACTTGCTAAACACAGGTCTAATTAGCTCATAAAGGGTTAGTGGAGACACATCGTGTCATAACTGATGGGGCAGCTCTGTGCGGATCCAACTGATGGGTCAGGTTCTCCTGAGACACTGTTCAACAGGATTTCCACTGTTGTGTCAGATTTCATCTGCCAAGAGATACGATACACAGCTGTCAGTGAGAGAAAATGCAACACCGCTAAGTCTTCTCCAAGAGCATGTGACCAACTAACAACAGCTAACGCTGGGTTTGGCCAAAAGAAGACAAAAAATGGATTCTGAAGCCTAAGCAGGATGTAACAGGGGAAACAAGGGGAAAGGCAGAGGAGCAGCTCACCAAACTGAACATAAGCAAAAGCAACATGACTCCACAGAGCAGAGGTGGTGATTAGGGCTGTGGAATTTAAGGGATAGCAGTGGGGAAAGGTGGGGCTGTTTTGTGAGGATTAAGGGCACACAGTGGGATTATTAATAGCTACTTCAGAAACACCCTGTTTCAAGAGACTATTCTGCTGAACTGGACCAAACTGCCTCCAGTGCAGCCCAGCTTTTACCTGTATCCCTTCATCACCTCCAACTAAGCATAAAAATATCCATGGAGAAACATTCCATCTACAGCCCACACTTTGTATTACAACAATTATCACACCCCACAAAACCACACCCTGTAAGTTTTCCCTACCAGACTTGCCATCTTCCCAGCAATTCTTGTAAACTCTCCATTGCATCCAAGCCCACCTCCTCCCCACACAACAGACTGCTGGGGAAAAATAGCATCATAACGTTTTTGAACAATGGATGAGTATCTATTTGAATAAACACAGTGGATCGTTCACACAGATGCACTGGCAATGCAATGAGGCCCCAACATTTGAAGAGTTCCAGAACAGTCAGAGTACCAACATCATTGAGCTTTAAAATTCTACAAACACAGAGAAATTAATCAGCATGGTATGTGTGAGTACATGTTAATGTGGGAACTTTAAATTTTATAAGGAAGTTTTGAATGCATCTGATGTACACATTTTCTGAAGTTTTTTATAGTATTTTTCATTCACCGTCTGTGTTAACACACAAATCTAAGGATAAAAGAAGTACTTCAGCTGGTTAAATCAGCTTGCTCAGGCTATGCACTTAGCTCAGTTAAATAAGATGAGAGCCCAGAACTTACTTCAACTTGCCAATCCTTATTATCAAGCACAGTGTTTGTAACTCACAGTAGGTTATCAACAATGGGGCCATATTTGGGAGATACTATGACATCTGGTATTGATTTCTGGCAGGATTGAGGTATTTTTTGAAACCTCTTCCTCAAGTTGGAAAGATAATAAAATGCATACATACTACTGGGCAGATTTTTTTAAAATTTTAACAGGCATTAGAATAGGCATAGTTACATACAGCAGCACAGACACAAAGAAGTCATGCTGCTGCTTTTAAATCAAAGCACTGCCTCCCATCAACAGGAGCAAAGTAAAAAGGCGAGAAAGAAAAACAACTCAACACTTGCAACACAGGTTGAGTGCATGCGTTAAAAATCACGAGAAACTCATTATTTAATGAAAAAAATGTCTAAAAGTTGCTTTTAACTCCCAACATCGAAAAGTAAAGCAAAGAAATGCTCCACAAACACTCAGTTCTTTTCATGTTAACAAAGACCTTAAATACACAGTTCTGTAAAAGTGAAGACATTCAGAAGAAACCGTACTAAGAAGTCACAAGACTTTGGTACATTCTGAACTACATGCAACATGTTGCATGCACACTCCTGCTTACACCTGGTATAGAACAGCTGAACAAGAAAAAGTTCCAAATAAAATAATTTATGAGGAAGCTAGGAATGAAAGCAAGAACCTCTACTAACTCCTTCTTAACTGAAGTTCTTTAACAAGAACAAATTCATGGCAGTAGCAGCTACAAAAAAAGCGTGATCTAGTTAATGCTGCAAGCAACATTTTATCTGTAATTCATTAGAAAGCTGTTAAGAATTTTGCAGAGGAAAAATCTATGTCACTGAGTATTTTTATTTATAAGATCAGTTTAAAAACATACTAGGCAAAAAAGTAAATGTTTTTAAATGAGTGGCCTAATATTTAAAATTTTATAGAAGGAATATTAAAATATCCAACATACACATATAATTTCTAGAAACAATTACAGTAATTAAAACAACACTCAACATTTGGAGGGAGACATTTTATAGAAGGCATTCCAGAAACTGCCTCCTCAAAGACATTGATCAACTTGGGTGTGTTCAATTAATAGGAGAAATTAATTTCAAGTGAAAAGCCCTGCTGCTGAGAATCATCCAGCATTTAGCACTCACTCTCCACCCCCTGGCTCCAGAATTTAAATTCTTAAACTGTCAGCAGGATCTTTCTAGATGAGATGGTTAATTTGAAAGACTGTTTTCACTACTGAGCAACTGAAACTACAACTCCAGTGTTTCCAATAACAAATTTCATCAACCAAGAAATAATTCATTATTTGAGATTAAGATGGTTTTTTTATCTGTCTATTTTACCTCAACACCTACTAGTTTCATTACAGTTCATAATTTTATCTTCTTTCTCTAGGCTAAGCTAAACCAGACAGAGTTAACTCACATTGACTCTGAAATGCAGACATTGCCTAGAAAAGTAGGTATCCAAATCACAGAGACTTTCAGTTGCTCTCTGTTGTGACCTTCTGGAATTTCTGAAACAGTTCAGACTGCCAACTGCAATTCTTAAATCCTTAAAATAAAATAACTAAAAAGCTGAATTCAGTTTTTTTCGGTTTGAAATCTCCAAGTGGAAAAAAAATAAATCTCTTTACAGACAGGTACAGGATGCTGTCCAAATGACTGAGATCGTGGTTGGACTAGACAGTAAATTCAGTTTCAGTGTGTCTCGTATGAGATCAAAACCACCACAGCTGCATGATGCACTGATAAAGTGCAGCCCACTCTGCCAATTCTAATTCTGCACAGAGTTATGCTCCATCAGGTAGTGTGTGTCCTTCTGCAGCCAGCAAACAGCCAGAATAAACACAGTATCATGTGATCCGGCTTATTTGCTGAGAATGTGCGACCAGGTGATTTGGTACTGCACAAAAGTGATATTAATGAACACAAGACCATAGCCCAAGGCATGGAGGGAAACAATTTGTCAAGGTGAACCACACAAGCTGAGGGTACACCTGAACATAGTATCCAGTCCTCATTAATTGCGGCCTAGTTTGCTACCTACTGGGCAGCACTGCTGCCCAACATAACAAAAAGAGTTTTCAAATTACGACGTGGTTCTCAGGATTTCTTTGGCACATTTGTTCTTAATACTATCCCTGCTACCACTAGTTCCATGCCATGGTCCTAGGTCCAGAACATTTCTTTTCACCCAAATCCTCGCTGTTAACCAGCTGTGGTCCCTGCTGCCCTACTCCTACCCACACAAGCCAAGGGCCATTTCAGCAACTAATCTATTGACACTGCAAATATTTAGGAAAATGTTTAGCTTGACCAATGTAAGTGACCCCAGTGAAGTCAAACAAACCTATGTTTGTATGCAAGAGTTTCCAGGGTTTAGTCTCCAAAAAGCGAGATACATTTTTATACTTGCTAGGAGACATCCAAGAAACACTACTGAGGATGTGCTATATAACCCACATAAAATAAAACACTACTCCTACTTCTTTATATGCTACTCACTAAAAAAATATTTTAATTGCAGCTCATCAAATCTAGACTCTAACATATTATTGTAGCGAACTATACAAATAGATCAGCAATTCTGGGAAAATAAAAAAGCGGCTTCCATCAAATGCTTAGTCTGACACATACAGAGAAAGACACAAAAAAGTAAATATTATAAAGCAAATATTAGAAATGTGTTGAAATGCATCCTTGTCCCAGTTCCTGCAAAAAGCAGAGTACATGCCCACAACAGTGAAATATATTTTGAATTACTGGTTGGAGATGGCAGTAGGACAGAGCAAGAAATACATTATTGATTAGAAATTATATCAAAGAAATTGTACTGAAGAAACTTTAAAATGTTAAAGAACTCCATAGCTAGTAAATGCCAGAATTAAGTTTGCCTGTAAAAGTTTTAGTAAGCCCTATGGCATTATATATATATATATATGTAAAGGCATAACTATAGAGTCAGATAATATTTTTCTCTACTATTCTGCCTGAGCCATTATAAGGGCTTGACACAATGTCCACATTTGGCTTATTCTGTAAGATGAATTATCAGTCTGAAGTAGCTTCATTAGTAGATAGCAAGTAAACAAGCAGTAAAGAGTAATTCCAATTAGCATTCAAGGTATCAAAATAACACTGAGACACCCATTATTAACAAAAACTGTAAAGATGAAGCAAATTCTCCAGAAATCTTTTTACCGTTTGATGGGAGAGAAGACACTGGCACAGGTACAACGTCTTTCACCAGGGGATTGACTTGTTACCTTTGATGGTGCACTTCAGCACAGTCTAAGTGAATTTCAAGATAGAATCACCTGCTTTACAATCATAGAGTCAAAATAAATGCAGTCAAAGACTACAAAAGCTCTTCTATTCTCCCTGCCAACCCAAGAAAAGATATATCCATTCCACTAAACCCATATTCCTGGTAGCAGACTTTACAAAAATCTCATGAGCCATTTCTATGTAGTAGAGGACTTTTATTGATAAAAAGAAGCTCTCAAAATTTTCACGGTCAGCAGACAAGATTTCAGAATCAGGAAACACTGATGCACTGCACCTGTCAGAGGAAATGCTCTGAGCTCAGCTGGAACAGTAAAGGTCACAGTTGCAGACATGGATGTCATCAGTGGATTTTGCCCTAAAACATGCTGTCGTGACAGTGTAGCAAGCACAAAAAGATGAGCTAAGTGCTTATCAAGAAAACATCAGCATCAAACAAGGCTGTTTGTTCCATGAAACTAGAAAGTTTCATGTTAAAAACTGTTACACTGAGAACACTGTAATGGGTATCACAGTGCCAGTCACTGGCAGAGAGTCCTGAATCAGCAAAAACACATGAATCTCTTGGGATTCATAGTCTTCCTGGTACTTAGCCCTGCAGAAAACTAAGGGACAACCTGATTTTGAAGCCCAGCCTGTCTCTAGCAGGCAGTGGCAGTCACTGATGACACTGCTGGCACCTGCCACACAGCCTGGACTTGGTTATCGCATTAGTTCTGCTGCCAGAGCTGTGCCACCAAGGATGGGTGCTGGCTGGAAACACATCCTCTCCTTGACCTTGCTATTCCTTCAAAACCCACACTGCAGGTGGAGCTACCACTACAGAAAGTGTTTCAATGGTTTAGTTTGCTTTCTCAAAAGAGTGAAGTTGGATACATTGGCAGAACCTCCTCCAACAGCACTCCCGGCCTATACAGCTATGCTGGCAGAGACAAGTAACAAAGATTTTATCTTTAAGTCTCTTTCATTTTTATGAGATCGAGAAAGACCATCCAAGTAACTACACCATGATACTATGAGTTTTAAGTGAAGAAACTAGAATTCTGCTAAATAGTTTGCAAGTCAAACACAGACCATGGACTGGACTGTACAGCAGGTTTTTTTACTTTTCTGCAGTTGCTCCTTAGATCACTCACAAGCTGCACACTTGGAATGAATATGACCTGTATCACTGAAGGGAATTATTCCTCTGCAGGATTAAAACCTACACACTTGGCCATGAAGATAACAGACCCCAATACTAAGTAATCTGCTCTAAATTACTGACACAGTGAACAAACACCTCCTCCTATTCCATTTCAATGAACCTACTGGTTTGAAGAGAACTATTATCAAAAATACAAAACAAATCTAAGAGTAGTTCCTGTATATCCTGTAGAGACAAAACCACCCTTGTAAAAGGAACATAGTGCACTCCTCATCTTTGCCAAAGGAAGACTGAACACTTGACAAGGTATGAATGACCAACACATCCAGACTTCAAACCCTCTCAAGACATACACTTACCTCATCTGTATGTATTTTTACAGATAAAACCTAAAAAAGAACATGTTTAATTTCATTTCCTGTGTTCAAACTTTAATTAACTTAGATTTAAATTGCAATTATAATTGCTCAAATCAGTTCCCATGCAGAACAGTCAGAAAACCAAGATGTTGGCAGCCACTGAGATGGTGGCAGAAATTACTCACCTAGAACAACGTGGGAAGGCTGTAGCAGAAATAGGGATAAAACCCAAGCACTGATGAAACTTCTAATATCTTCATCTTTTCTTCAACTCAACACCATCTCATTCCTAGCACTCTTTCAACCAGTCTCTTCCCCTTCTACATGACCTCATGACTTCCCAAGCCCATGTCTTTTACTTTTTTGTCTGCCTCTTCCCACTCTTGGTGCTCCCTTAACATGGCTCTTAATTTTTTCCTGAAACATGTCTCCTATGTGTTTCTTCCACCTCACTCAGGTTTGGATTTTATCCTCCCTTGCAGTGTTCAGGCTTAGCAAAAGGCAGACACAATTCCAAGTAAGCCAAAGTGATGTTCGGCAAAGCAGTAACTTACAAAAGGAAGCATTAAGTAAACTTTACCAGAGATGCCTCTACTACATTCAACACTTTGCTCTCACCTGCAAAAATACAAAATAGCCCAGGTTCTCTTTCCCTGAAGGAGAAGAGGGGTGGGAATAATGCAACATTAGAAAGTTATTTTCATCTCTCTTGTTCTCTAGATTGATCTACAATACATTGCAATTAATTTTATCTCCAGAAGATAAAAGATGAAGTCCCCAGATGAAGCCTGGGGACTTCAGAAAATTTACCCCAGTTTTTACAGTCCCAAAGAAGCCGAATGCTTGAAAAGTCGAGTGATCAGAGTCCACCACCAACACCCCTGCTAATCCAGAGAGCAGAGTGGGACTGAGAGAACAGGCACAACTGTTGAAATGAAATACTAGGAGAAGTTAAAAATTCACTGAAGTACAGGAAAAATAAAAGAACTTATAAAAAATGAGAGAACAGCCAAACTACAGGAACCAAGAGCCATGACTCAAGAAGCAAGAACAGGAGGACACAATAAATCAAACTACAGAGCCAAGAACAACTTCCTCACATAAGCCCTTCCTCACAGAGCATGCATGGTAAAACTAGTGTGCACTGTATCTTTACGTGGAGATGAGAGAATGCAAAGCCAAAGACTACAGATTTCGGTTGTTACATATATGGGAAATGCCATTTTTTTACTGCTCAAAGTGTATAAAAATGAGCACCTGGCCCACTCAAGGTGGGCTACCTTCATGAGTTCAGCACCCAGCACCTATCTCTCCACAGATACAAAATAAAGTATCTCAACTCTGTGTGTGCATCATGTTCCTGCACACTGGGTGAAAGAATCCATATTTGGGACAACACAATATGCTGGCATTCTGGCCACCTGAGAGCTCTTTACAGCAGGGAACACTTGCACTGCCTGTCAGCCTGGGTCCCAATCATTTGTCTACACCTCAGGACTATAAAGTCTGCAAGAGACACTGCAGCTCCATCAGTCTTTTGTTGTTACACTAAAAGCAAGAGTGCTGTCTGCACTTTGCATGGTAAGGACCTGAATATTGGTTAATTTATTTTAAAAATACCCATTAAAAATGAAAAAAGAAGCAGCAGCAGAAGTCCAGTCATTACACAGGTACAAGAAAATCCAGTGGCACAGGGAGTTTCCACAGAAAAAGGATTTCCCACAGCCTATTGTTGGAAACACTGTGACTCAAGTGCTCATTTCTTGCTCAACAGGCTGCTGATTCAACCAGAAGAGGATGCTGGTATGTCTCACCTTCTGCATTCCACCTACTGCACCCGAAATCAACAAAAAAACTGGCTTTGAGAAAACATGTGACTATATCTCATGCTAGTTTCTAGCTATTTACATGACATACTTTGGTTGTACAATGTATTTGTCAATGCCATTTAAAGGTACATATAATAAAATAATAAATTAGGAATTTTAACTGTTGCTGTCTCCTTATCTTGCTAAATTCCAGTTGGACGTTTCACTACAAACAGGTGGTTAGAAGGTGAAACACAGAGTATAATATGCTTTCAGATTCACTGCTGTGTGAAGAAACTACTGACCAGAAAAACTGTCAACATACAAACTTACAAAATAATCAGATAAAAAGTGTTTTGCAGCTGGAGACAAATCCTGTTAATACTGTGTATGAAGAACAGTCTCTTGTGAAAATTAATGACCTGATGCAACTCCCCAAAGAAAGCCCTCAGGTAAGGAATTCAGATGGAACCAGGGAGCAAGCCAGTGGAGGCTATTTTAAACTCAAGCCTTTCTACAGCTATTTCCAGGTGCAGCCCTAAATTCAGCAACAGTATCTGTTTCCCAGAAGCAGATTTTAAACTGTCTCTGACAGGTAACTGGAGATAGGCAGTGTGGTTCCAGAGGCATGGCATGCAGCTAGCCGCCAAAATAAAGCATGAGCAGTTATTTTTCAGAGAACAGACTGTAACTCTGTTCTGCTGCAGCAGTTATATACATTTCCTTCTCATACTCAGAAAGGTTCAGGATGCTGGCAGGGGAAAGTAGAGAAAACTCCCTAGAGTGAGGTAGGAAGCAGAGACAGGAGAAGTGTGGCTAGAGGCTAAGAGATTAGCCATTACCAAATTTATAATCCATGTAGACGCTAGAACATGTTAAATATCTTGGAGCAGCATTTTTAAAACCTTAGGACTGAAAGAACAGTGAACGAGCTCGTTTTAGCAACACAAATGAGTTTCATTAGGGAAAAAAGGGGAAAAAAATGCAAACCAACCTTTCCAGGACTTTCTATTTTTTGCACACCAGCATGGATATGCACACAAAGATACTGCTGAATTCAATCCTAAAAATCACAAATGTATCACTGCCCTACCAAAAAACCCACAAAAGTATCTTCACTTCAGTCAAGCAGTTAAACCTCTGCTTAACTTAAAAGATCATGAGTGAATGCATCTGAAGTAAACAGGATTTGGGTGCTTTGTTGGCGAAGGTACAGGCTTACTCTTTATATTCCTAAAGATGAAATAAAAGTGTTTTGCTGATAGATGGAAGTAATGAAAAAAGATTAAAAGTCGTTGTTGAAAATTACTTGAAATTCCTATCATAACAGTAACATATCATTATTTAATAGCTTAAAATCAAAATATAAACCAGCTATGTTTCACTCAAGTCTGGATATACACCATTAATCTCTAATGATGAGAACTATGCTATGATTTACTAGGAAAGCTTTAAAAATCATGAATATTCCAAATAAAAGGAAAAAGTCCTGAACCATCCAACATAAACTAGGAGGTCTGCAATTATGATGAGATCTGAGATGAACTGTATATTTAAAGACTGCATACAGTGCCTGTATTTACTGCTGTCCAACACCTGCTGATGTGAACATGAGTTTTCAACTCCTTTTAAATATGTATATTTAATTTTTTGAAAGAAGATTTTTCAGTCAAGCATCTGACTTAGGATGATTTAAAAAGAAATATTAAAGGAAAACCTTTCTACAAAAGAAAAAGCATCTCAGAATAGAAATAGTGGAAAATGTATTGTTTTGCTTTCCTGTTATTGCTTTTAAAAGAGCAAAGAGCAGTAGCAAGATAACAGCAGGGCAGATTTAATTGAAAAGCTCTACCATCTTCAAGTTTTGAAACAGAGATTTCCCATTTTGAAGGGAAATCAGGGATGCACTTTTGCCTTTTCTAGAGAAATCCATACAAAACCAAGAAGTCAATTTGCAGACACACACTAGAATAGGTTGCTTAGGAAGTTGAGTTCTCCAGGCATTATGTGGCCTGAAAATGAAGGGACTAAGTCCAGCCTGCCCTGGGACTGCCTCTTTCCTCCCTGGCTCTGCTGTGGATCCCTTGCCTGCTCCCGGCCGGGATGGGATGGGATGGGATGGGATGGGATGGGATGGGATGGGATGGGATGGGATGGGATGGGATGGGAAACCCGCGGCCGCGGTGCCCCCTGGCGGTCGCTGCCGGCACGGCCGCGCCGGGGGTTTGTCCGTCCTGAGACCAAACACAGAACGAGCCCCTGGCTAATTGAGCAGGCAATTAACAAGCTCACCCTTTATAAGCACCAGCATAGTCAGGTAGCAGGCAGGCTTTAAAACACTGGTTCCCTACTGCCACAGCCACGTGTTTGTTCCCAAAATCAGCTGCCTCATCCATCTGCACTTCCATCTTCCACAATACACAAGGCAGGTGTCACCCAAGACTAAGTTGTCTTAACTACAGTGTCCTCAGTCATTCCCGAAGCACTACTCCTCCCATATTTCCACTGGTGTGAGTTTCAAGGGGAGGAATTAGAAGCTCTATCACACTGGGAAAAAAAATACATAGTTGTACCAGCAACTTTAGTATTTTATACCTGCCAAAGATTTATCTCTACAACCATGTGTTGCTTTAATGCAACATTTGTGTCTATTAAAAAATAATATTTAAATAACGATATGTTTTCATAACATTATTAGAAAAGGCAGTTTACCTGATTTACTGTTTCCTCAAATGCTCTTATATAATTATTAAGAGATCTGTCCATTGCAGCAAATTCTAACATGACTTTTTCCATACTGTTAACATCCTCTTCATCATCTGCAAAATAAAACATTTGGAACATGGATGATCAGTTGTATTATATTCAGGCAGTATTTCTTCTTTGCAAGTATTTTATTTACAATATTGATACTGTGAATGTTTAAAGCATATGTGTATCAGCAGGTGTTTTCAAGCTCCTCAAACATATACTTTTTTTCCTATTTTGCAACTGTAATTTTTTACATTTCTTGGGTAACTCCAACAAACAGCTTACTCAGAAAGACACTTCCCTGGTTTCATGTGAACAAGAGAGAGTGTGTGTAATTTCATCTACCAACACCTAGTCATTAGGCAATCAGGATATTTTCTGCAAAAGTTATATTTCATGACTCATCACATTGCCTCAGAAATAGTCAGAAGAAACTTAAATGCCCTCTCAGTACAGTATAGTTCAAGCTATAATTAGACCCCTTATCCCCAATAAACACAGCTACTGGAAAATCAAAACAGAGCCAGTGTTTTATAACACAGGAAATATTGGAGGACTGAATAGCATTGGTGATTCAAGAGTAAAATTCTAATTGCCTGGGAAAATCAATTAATACATGCGATTAGTAATTCACATCCACTTTTATTCTCTTCTTCTTTCCTCCTAATTTTACTCCTTTCATCTCTAACTACACCTCTGCTTTCCCATTCTAACATTGCTGTGCATCTGCTTAGCTGGATAAGGACCCTTTGTAGATGCTACATGGCTGAACAGCCACAGTTCTATCTCCTGACACAGCCACATGTACTACACCAAATCCTGCCAACTGCAGGAGGACAGCCAGCCACAAGCCCCTAACCCGTGCAGGAAATTAGGAACTTAGGAAACCTAAGTTTCCACTTCTGCTACTCCCATTTATTCCTACCCTGCAGCTTCCAGGTACAGAGAAAACAGCTGGAAGCATCTGGATGCCATGAAAGAGCCCCAGAGTCTGCCATGCAGCATTAGGGGTTACCATTTAATGGAGCATTCTTCTTTACAAGCAGTTAAGTAGCCAAGCTGTGCTGTTACTTTTAGGAAGAAAATCGTGGTACAGCTTTTTAAATTACTTTTATTGTGAAGAGAGGAAAATGTCTTCTGATCTGACAAGCTAGTACACTGCCCAAGTTGCTAACTATATTATCATGTTAGAGCACAAAAATCTGTCTCCGCAGAGAGCTAACACAAAGCACTGTATATGGCCATCAGCTTGAGAGCAAAATCTGAAACACATCACTCAGGGACAGAAGTTTCATACCACTGATGGATCCAGGAGACTGAGGAAAAGTGCTAAGATATATTTACACAAAGAGTTACATAATAAGCCATTCTATTTTGTGAACATGGCAATTACAGTTGTGACGTTTCCCTTAATTATATATAGGCTTGGCATGTATCCATTTTTCATTAAGTAGATGAATGGATACTGCAGACAGAATCTTGGCACTCCTGCAACTTTCTTCTGAATAATCAGCATTTCCCTCTCCTCCTTCCCTTCCCTCCCACCCAATTTCCATATCCTATCTGGTAACTATGATCATACTCTTTCCTTCCTGCAAGGAAGCATATGAAGTGCCTCCTTCAAGGTTGACACAAATGGCACTCCATGAATCACAGGAAAGGTTTGTGTAGCAAGTAACTGTCATTCTCCTCCCATGGCCAAAATGAATCATATCCACAACATAAAGAAACTACAGTGACCTAAATATTTTTTATTTTTTTTTAGGGGAAGAGAAGTGCATTATTAAATATCAAGAGAGCTGTATTAATGCTGTCTTTCCTAACAGTTAAAGAAAGCTTTAGGTAAAGAATAATAATATTGCATGCAACTTGAGAGATGCATTAAAATAAAGCTCAAAGTGGTGGAACACAGCTCAGGCAAGAGGGATATTAACTACATCCTGCCCCACATTCTTCATGTACTGACCGTTCCACCCATCCACCAGCTTGCTTTAAGTCTCGGTGCTATTCACTGCTGTTTCCTTGCTGCTGTTCTGTCATGCACAGGAAGTGTGTTCTACACACTGGGAAACTGCGGAACGCGTCACTAACACACGGTCACAGCCTGCCCTTGGAGGCACTACGGACATACAGACAGACCCAAAGGACTGCATACAGGTCAGTGGTTGTCCACAGATAGATCTGAAGGACTTTATAAAGGTCAGTGGTTGTTCATACCCTATTTCTGCTCATTGACAGATTAACTAGAGTCCACTTTCTATCTGCAGTCCAATCCATACTCCAGGGCGCTGAGAGCTAAGAGGAAATCTATGTTGTTCCCAGCCACTCACCTCCTCATCTCCTAAACAAGATTTAAGAGAAAACTTACTTTACAGGCTATTCTATTTGCCTTTTAAAAACCTTTATTGTTCCACACTACACACAGCAATAACCTGCTGTGCAAGGCTCCTCAGCTTTCCCTTCCTCTAAGGAGCTAAGAGCACTTCTGCCCCTCCCTGGTAAGGAGCAGATGCAAGGCAGAGCTTGGCTGCACATGATGAGAAGCTGTGGGTGACTCTATGGGAATGTAAAGTTTTACAGCTCACCAAAGTAGGGATCCCAGCACCTTCAATGTTTCTTTACACATAAACTAATCAGAACACACCATTTGACCTGATCTTATTAGGGAACGAGAAATTAGAAAAAAAAAAAAGACATGCTTCTCCTCACCACCATTACACAACTCATTCTCACCAACCCCTTAGTTTAACACCACTATAGTATCAAAAAGAATCAAAATTTAATAATTACATCAGGGCTTTGAACAATTCAAAAGGCATTGTCTGTTATCCATTCTTCAAGCCCTGCTGCTGCTTTTATTTCAGTTGTGAGGACACCAGTGGAGATTCACGGTAAAGAGATTCAAGGCACTGACTCTCTTCCAGCAGACAGTGGGCACAATGACTGGTGAATACCCTCCGGCCAGACTCCAGCTACAAAGCCAGCTTACTCTCCAAAGTAATCAAACCGTGCACTCTGCAGGCCAACAACCCAGCTTAACACCAAAATCAAATGCTTTGCAAGTGCAAGTGCTGTACCAGTGCCTTTCTGTTATCTAATCAAAATTTATCCTAATCTTATTTCTAATTCATATCTAAGGAATGCATTCCAAACTATCTGCATATGCTTTTAGCTACTGCCACAAAATACCATCGAAGTTGCATATTGTAGTTGTCTCCTTGTTATCTACACTAAATATGTTGAATTTAGTAAGCATTTCTTCCCAAGTCATTACCCTCACCACTCAGAGATTATACATTTTGCAATATTACATTTTTTACTCACAGAAAGGCCAGTCCAAGGCCATAATTTCATTTTCAAAGGCCCATGTGCATCATGTTAAAATTATCTGGATGAATATGCAGAGTTCATGTTATAAATTCCAGATTGCATGATTTTATGATCTCTTATTATAATGGAAACAGGGATATTATTCTGAAAAGTCTCCCTACATATTAAAGAACAAAGTTACATAAAGTGACAACCAAGAGTTCAATTTCTCGTTTCTAAAGAGACCAAACTGATCACGTTGAGGTGCCTTACTGCTGATTTAAACCATAATCAATCAGGGCTGAGTTATGTATCATGAACCCACAGTGTTAAAACAGAAGTTGCAATAACAGGATAGAGTCAAGTCAGCACTGATTTAATACTTCCTATACTAACACTAATCTAAAATCTATCCAAAAAACTTGCATTTCCTTCTCGTATCTGAGTTCATATTTACTTTAGCTCCCAGTATACATCCACAAGTTTGCAAAATTTCTAAAGATTTTTCACAACTACCTCTTTCTGTGCAAATCAGTATTTGCTTATTTAGGGTATTACAGGTGCCCCGCAGCCAGGGCACAGCAATCCAAATAAGCATTCACTTCCACCACAGACTATCTTAAACACAAAATATTCTGGAATACCATGAAATTACAGAAAGGTTCTAAACTTGGAAGTATAACAGTACTTAAAATAAATGCTTAAGCACAGACAACGTGGATTAACATAAATACACATATAATGCCATACATTTATAGTATTGTCTAACAAAAGTCAAACTTTCAATGTAAAGAAAACAGGACATGTCAGTTCTACTTCTTGCACTACATATTAGTTTGCTTTGAAATTCAAGGCCTAACGCTGTTTTTCTCATCTTTTGAGGCAAAAGACTAATGGTATACCATTTGCCCCCAAATTTTGACTGTAGATTTCAGACTTTTAAAACATTTAAAACAAAAACATCAGTCACTTGAGCCATTAGCAACAGCGGTAGTAGGCCTTTGTCTTCATATGCACCAGCAGCAGATAAAATACACACTTTGCCAGCAGGTTTCAAGTTTCTGCTGACAGCGGATGAATACAAGCTCCCCACTTGATTGTTCCATCTTCTGGTGGAGAACATACATTCTCAATTCAGGATACAGCTAAGCATTTTTGCTGTCATTTTTCCTTCATTTTGAAAACCAAAAGTGTTATGACTCCACTCTGCACTGCCAGTTTTGGTCTACTCAAAACTGTTGATAATTCAAATTGGATCTTGAAAAAAACTTTCAACCAACCCACACTCTTTAAGAATAGATTCACAACATTCTTGGAGAAGACAGTAGCAGGATGTCCCTCTAATGTCTGGATGCTCAGTAGTGAGAGGATACAAACCTGTGTAGGAGACCACTGTCTTATTTCCCTCCCCTGTCTACATAGGCATGAACCTGGCATGGTACTCCAGGCTACATAGACCAGGAAGAACCTAAAAAGGAGATTGCTTCTGCAGCACTGAGGGTACATCTTTGCTTTTTCTCCTGCAGATACATGGACAGCTTCTCAGAAAACTCTCACGGAAGAAAATTTCTTTCAAAATCTCATCTCCCTGAGCTATAACATATTTAACCTATGTGACATACTTAACATACGTAACGTATCAGGCTGCAAAAACAGCAGAACGCTAATACAGAAAATTCTAAACTAAAAGAAATTAGAAGCCATACAAAGAAACAGCAAAAGACTGGAGAATACCCATTTCATCTCCTGAGAGCAGGTA